ACCTCGTGATCGTCTAATAAAATCGTAATTAAACCGGATTATTCCCCCCTTTTTCAGTCTTGCTTTCTATATCTTTTATTTTTAACCGTTGACCGAAAACGCTCGTCAACAGATATTATATCCCATATCACTTCTAAAGTTGATTTCAAAATAAAATCTTTAATATGAGGAACTATTGATGATTGTTTAGATTTTTTTAAAGCATATAAAATTAAAATATAACTAAGTAGTCCTTAAAAAAAACTAAAAAAAATAAAAAAAAATCTCCGATGATCCGAATCAAACTATGCTGAACTGAATTGTTTCGATGGTCCCGACTATCGAATCGAAAAATAAAAATCTCCGAATCGGTATTGTCCAATTTTTGGTACGGTTCCAGAGATCAAATTTAGCGATCACCGAATTTTGGTACGGTTCCGGAGATTTCTCAATCTCCGAACCGTACCGACTCATGCTCCCCTAGCTGCAAGGGCTAAAGGCTAAATTTGGGTGCATATATACAAAAGCCACCTTATTATTTTCACCCAGTGGTTTGAGCTCAATATGACTTGGACCACACAATTTTAAGTGTAATTCGTGGTGTTCGCTTACCATTTAGCCAAAACTGATATAGTTATAATTTTTTTAATTGTATAATTCACTTCAGCTTTTTTTTTTAATTATCTTTTATTATTATTATTATTTTTTTTTTTTTATCATTTGTACTTTTTGATGCTTGTATTGTTTGATCAATCGCTTTGGAATGTTTGTATGGACCTCCTACCTTTCTACCTACATAATATCAGGTATTCAAACACAAATCGACCCATTATATTATAACATGACTCGGGTTCCCCAGCAAGTAGAAAAAAGTAAGAAAATAAAAGGTTATTCAAAATGGATTTTGATTAAAAAAAAATCACAACAAAAAATTTATCCCCACCCCACCTCCCCCACCAAAGAAAAAGCCTATTTTTTTCCTTAAAATATTTATTATATCCTCCTTTTTCGTGTGGTTCTAAATTTATGATTCTTTTTTACAAATAGAGTGGGGGTTAAATGACTTTCTCTTGTCGCATGTTTTCAATTGTCATCATTAGATTGACTCAAAAATAAATATCAACCATTAGATTCAAGGTACGAGTGAGTATGAGGCAAAAAAGAATTTTGGTCGCCTCATACTTGCTTCGTACCACCTCGTACTTGCTAAAACATACTCCCTTCTATTCATTATAAATGTCGTTTTGACTTTTTTGATTCATCCATTTTGTTATGCATCTAGACATTAATATGTCTAAATACATAACAAAATGGATAAATCAAAAAAGTCAAAACGACATTTATTCTGAATAGGAGGTAGTATTATACTCTTACTTAATTAAAAATTGAAATTTAAACAGTCCCCAATGAGAGAATACCCAATTCCAATGGGATAATACACAGTTCCCAATTAGAGAATATACATTCCTCAAAGGGAGAAGAAAAACACAAACGCACACTTACAACACATAACCTAAAAAACAAACCGAGCTAAAACAAATAAAATAAACAAGGGCCCTCCCTACCAGACGCAACGAACACGAACCGACATTGCTCAAGAGGACACTCGGGTAATGAACCACAAAAGGAAAGCTATGCTACCCATGACCTAGGGTGGAAAATTCCAACTAATGCGGCTAAACCACACCAGCTCGAGACCCCAAAGCCAACCTCAGTCCACCACCGAGTCCCCAGGAGAGACCCCAACCCCACGACCTTCCACACCAAGGCCCCCACCCGTCGCAGCTCCAAGAATTACTACCGGCTGGAGAGTTCCGGCGACTAAGCACCAAGGGCTGCCGGAAAAAGGAAGTTCGAGGGTCAAACCTCACTCCAAAGACCGAACACGACCTCGAACCCAGCCCACCACACCCCCGACAAAAACTGGCGACCGCACAACCTCCTCAACATGGCATCCCTGGAAGGAAGCAACCCACACGAAGAACGACCACTGCTCGCCAGGACCAGACCGACCAAGAAGCAGGTGCCGACCCCCACCGCTGGGCGCGGCATACGCTCTGGTGAGGAGGCACTGCAGATCGAAATTTAGGTGCTAGATTTTTCTTGGGATTTTGGGGATTTTTGAATAGAGAGAGAAAGTTAAAAGGGAGGGCTAGTCCAGTTCATTTATAAAAACTTTCCTTCATTCCAATTTTTATCAAAACTTTCAAGAGCTTACAACCTCTTTGAAACATCACGTGGAATTCTCCACTTCCAAATCATAATGCAAACCATAATTGATAATTAAGCCATCCTCAAATTTGAGGCAACAAATTCCACACAAAAGTTGGATGATAGCCTCAAGGGTCGAAAGAAATTTCACATCAGATATCATGTTTTGCGCTAGAATGCAAGTAAGTTTATCACAATCTTTCAGGATAACACACAGATACACAATAGAGATACAAGCACATTCCACAAAATCATCTTAACGTCTGAAACCTTCAAAGTCCGAAAGGCAAAACACTAAATACTCTCAAGCACGCCATTCTAGCACGATTATACTTTCTGAATCGATCACTTCTTTAGATGAGGGAAACAAGTATACACGTCAGCCTTGGGATGCTTTGCTTCAGCATGTTCCCTGCACTTCACCTCAGTGGTAGTGCACATGAATGTCTGCATACACACCTTGCACTGCATCCATCATCCAACCGGAGAAAAAAAAAAGGGTTGATTAACTAATTTCCAGAATATTAGGAGACAAAAACAAGCCTCCGAAATTATTAACTTAGACCAAGAGAATTGTTGTGCCTTCAATGAAAGGCTAGAAGCATTAGAAGAATAGTCTACAACGAAATATAACAGGGAACAACAGTAGCAATATGTTTACACATTTCATCAGACAATAAATGCAAGTGAAAAGTAAAAAATGAAAGAAGAATCAAATCCTTTTGCAACAACATTGAGGATCTAGAGAAGATAATTTCCTGCATGGACATCTACAAACTTCTTTAGACAATAATTTCATGTTCATTTGTCCAGCATAAAGTTTGGAAAAAGAAAATTAAATTTTCAACTATTATCTCCAACTTTTACATAATCACGTAGCAAAGAACCACAACCAATTTCCAAACGAAACAGTCAACTGTGGTTGGCATATCCAATTATGAAACACCTCAATGCTAAAGATGGGCATAATACCCCAATTTGTTATTTCAAATATAAACCAGCCTCCACAGGACAACTTCAATTTTAGGATATTTGACATTAGTTGTACCCAGTTCCAACCAAGTATGCATAATAGTGCTAATCTAGTGTTTCAATATAATTTTAGAAAGTTCATTAAGCAGGCCCACAACAAAGTGCTTCCAACACCTATAACGAACACTATCTGAAAACCAAAAATAAGTTATAACACACGCTTACAAGTAGAAGAAAAGTTAAAGTTATCTGTACACAGATAACTCATGACACTGATACCACAAATACCTAAAGTCTGAGCAAGAAGCTACAAAAACTGAGAGGTTGTTCTGTGGTAAATCAAGCATGGAGACCTTTAATAGGGCAAGAAGACCCTTTCCGGCAAGTAGTTCCAATGCCATCAGACATTCCAACACTATAAAGAGTACCGAAAGAATCATACAGACGACCACCGAAGGAAAAGCTTCTGTGACGGCTTCTAAATAACATGTTCAATAAAAACCCAAAACGGGATGCTTGGAGACCAATGAAGACATCAAGTTTTTCAATCAAAGCAACAGCTTTCACGACAACTTGTCCAGGTACTTATTACGATACTACAATTGTATGAACTGCAATATGTTCTGAATTACTACAAGCAAAGTACAGACCCGTCTAGCAATCATAGATGGTTGGTGAGAAAGAAGGAAAAACAACAGAACAACAACATGAACAATCCATAGCAATCGATATAACATCTCACCTTGCACAGTTTCCACAGAATTAACCCACTAGAGATTAATCAAAGTTCACAAAATTAATGAATTGATATCAAATTGAAACAACTCGACAAAACAAAATAGAAAAATATCCCGACACACAGATCAGCGCAACATCAATCATCACTTGTAACGTCAAATTGTGAAAAACTGCTACCTGAATATTCATGGCCTTCTTGTTAGAATCCAGTTGGCTTCCTGCGCGGATCGGGCAAATCAGAACCCAACAACAATGGGAAACAATTCGGTGAACCACACACACACACACACACACACACACACACACACACACAGAGATCAAAGAAGCACGAAAGAACCTTTCGAAGCTTTCGTTTTCTCCAAATTCTTCTCACGCGCCATCTTGGCTTTCTGGCCATTACCACCACCCATAGCTTCAGTGAACCTTTACTAACCTTCCTTAGATTTGATGATCGGAGGAATACCAATCCAACTCTTGTTTTGTTTTCCCTACAGTTGGTTGAGAGCGGAGGAGGGCGCCGTGGACAGCTGCAAGGGATAAAGGCCAAATTTGGGTGTATATATGGAGAAACCAATTTATTTCTTTTCACCTGTGGTTTTATCTAAATACGACTTAGACCACACAGTTTATTGTAATTTGTGATTTGGGCACTCTATTTAGCAAAACTTGTCATTTTTTTATCTAAAGAACATTAGGATTACATAGATGATAAAGGGGACTAGCACGGACGGATGTACATATCTTTTAGGGGGCTATTATCTTCCCAAGATTTGTAATTTTTAGTATATAATTATAGGGAGGATTCAATGAATCCATTCCTTAAAATGAGTCAATTCCTTAAAATATATATTAATTAAATAATAAAATAATTATTAGTTGACTCCGGCGTTGACCGTTGACTTCCGGTGTTGACCGTTGACTTCCGGCAAAAAATCGTTGACTTTCGACGTTGACCGTTGACTTCCGGCGTTGACCGTTGACCCCTAGTATGCATTATATGTATGAAGTAAATATACATCCAGTATCATGCATTCAATATGAACTAAATATGCATGAGATATGAATTGCACATGCAGTTCTTATGAACTAAATATGCACCAATAATATCAACTAAGCATGCACCTGTTATGAACTAAATATGCATCTGTTATGAACTAAATATGCATCATGAATGAACTAAATATGCAGCGAAAAATATGCAATAAAATGTGCATTTCATATAGGTAATTTATGATGCATATTTAGTTAATTTATTATGAATATTTAGGTAATTTATGATGCATATTTAGTTAATACGAAATGCATATTTGTTATATTTAAATTAAATATATAATAATATGTATATAATTAATTTATTATGCATATTAACTTAATTCATGGTACATATTTAGTTCTTACGAAATGCATATTTAGTTCATGAACAGTGCATACCTATTTTATTTGAGATCTAATCATAATAATTTATTTGTGTTATTAATCAATTTAAAATTAAAATTAATTATATAATAAAAATTATTTGTGTTATTAACTAAATATGCATCTGTTATGAACTAAATATGCATCATGAATGAACTAAATATGCAGCAAAAAATATGCAATAAAATGTACATTTTATATAGTAAATTTATGATGCATATTTAGTTAATTTATTGTGAATATTTAGGTAATTTATGATGCATGTTTAGTTAATACAAAATGCATACTTGTTATATTTAAATTAAATATATAACGATATTTATATAGTTAATTTATGATGCATATTTAGTTTATTCATGATACATATTTAGTTCTTACGAAATGCATATTTAGTTCATGAACAGTGCATACCTATTTTATTTTGAGATCCAATCATAACAATTTATTTGTGTTATTAATCAATTTACAATTAAAATTAATTATATAATAAAAAATCATTAATTATTATATTTAAGTTAATTGTATAAAATGTATATTTTATTGCATATTTTCGTTGCATATTTAGTTCATTCCTGATGCATATTTAGTTAGTAAAATGTGCATATTTAGTACATAAACAGTGCATACATAGTTGATATTATTGTTGCATATTTAGTTCATAAGGATGACATATATAACTCATTTCTTATGCATATTTAGTTCATACTAAGTGCATAGTACTGTATGCATATTTACTTCATACAAAATGTAGAATAGGGGTCAACGGTCAACGTCGGAAGTCAACGGTCAACGCCGGAAGTCAACGATTTTTCGCCGAAAGTCAACGGTCAACGCCGGAAGTCAACGGTCAACGCCGAAGTCAATGGTCAATTGCCAAAATAATATTTAAATAACTAAAATAATAAAAATAAAGCATTAAGCAATAAAAATAAAGAATTATTATTTAAGTGAAGAGTTAAATCTTGGCCACACATCATGTACCAATCTAGTGGCTAGGAATGGGTCTCACATTTACACTTTAAATATGTGTACTCATTGGATCCAATCCCTATATATATATATAATTATATTTATATTATATATATGATTAGTATAAGTACAACATTTTTCATATAAACTCATACAATTATATTAAAATAGTAATTGTATTCATGGACGGATCTACATGTCTTTTAGGGGGGCTATTGTCCCCCCAAGATTTGTAATTTTTAGTATATAATTATATATATACAATTAGATTATATATATATATATATATTATATATATATAAGGTTGGGTTCAAGTGAGAAAGACTCTTAATGAAAGAAATGAGAATAAATATCAACCATAGAATCGAATGATCTAACAACTTAAACAAAAGTAAAATTATACCTTAATTAAGGGTATTACTGTAATTTTTACACCACACCAAAAGACCATGCCCAACCAACATTAATTCCCTACCAGATAACCCACACACCACACAAAAACAATTCAGATCTCCACACACAAAAAAAAAAAAAAGAGACGATCTGGTTCTCCACTCTCACGCACACCTACTACACATATTAAACATTAATTTACTAGCTTTGTATATGGTCTTCATTCGAGGGGTGATAGGAAATTACTATGGAATGACCTCATAGCTTTCGGGGTATAATTTCCTTGCCTTGGTTGATTCTCGGAGATTTCAATATCATCCTCAAGCTGGAGGAAAGAATAAAAGGAGAGCGTGTCACGAACCGGGATACCATGAACCTCTTTGAATTGTGTGACACTGTGGGCCTATCCGACATCCCCTCTAGTGGATTCTTTTTCACTTGGACAAATAGTCATGTTTGGTCCAAGGTGGATAGAGCTATGATGGATCCCCAATGGGTGAATGCCGATTATTTCTCTCATGCCTCATTCCTTGCCCCGGGTATATCCGACCATTCTCCTTGTCTAGTTCATATCTTCGAAGCCGGAGCCAATGGGGGTTCCCCTTGGCGCTTCTTTAATATGTGGACGTTGCATGAGAACTTTTTGCCGTGTGTTTCTGACACTTGGAGTCATGTTGGTGGGGGATCGAGGCAATTTCGCCTCACTACCAATCTCAAGAATCTTAAGAATTCGCTCAAGGCACTTAATGAGAAATCCTACTCACATATCTCTACACGTGCTAATGAAGCCAAAGCCGCTCTCAAGGAAATACAACAAATGCTCCACGACCAACCGGATGATCTCGACATCAAGTCTAAGTTGGGGCCCCTTAGTGACCGCGTGTCGCAACGCGGCAAATTTAAATTTATAAGTTTTCTTTAACTAACCTCTACTAACTAGTAGTAGCAGCGAGTAAGGGTCGATCCCACGAGGAGCAGGAACTAAATTGTGATATTTCGTATTAATTGAACAAACCTAAGAAAGCAATAAAATGGGGGGTTTGAATTGATAAAAATAAAAATAATAAAATAAAATAAAATCAAATAAAATAAGAGAACTCCAGTTTTCGGTTCAGTTATCACCCAATCTAAATCTACCGTTAATTAATTTCGACACCTTCTTTAAATTGCTAATGAATTACCGACCCTAGCTAACAACAAGCTCTATTAACCGAATTTTCCCTTACCGAATATTTAATCGAAATAAGCTCTTCGACTAAACCTAACTAGTGGACAACCTAGAATAAGCTCTCTAGATTTAATACACTAGCAGCATTAATTCCTAGGAAAATAGATCAGTCTAAGCAACAGACACAAAAGCTCGGACCATTTAACTTATGCTCACGCTACCCTAGAGATGCACGACCCCTAGTTTACTACTAACGACACAAGACAATAACAATTACGGGTTAAAGTCCCGAATCTAGCAATTAAACTATGAACATTCAACCTAGCTGGCCAAACTAAATCAAACACCATAATTTATAAACATTATAAATAGATAACATGAATCAACTCATTAACAAAAATAAATACGACGTCTAGATTAATCAACTATATAAATAAATCCTTCAATCCATAGACAAATCAAAGTTCGGGTTCAAACATCCCCTAAAACTGGATAAAAATCTAGCCTAGCATACTAAGAAAAATAAATAAAAGATAAAAGAGAGAATAGAATTATCCTCTCGTGTGCGATTGCGGTTTCCCTCCGCCGTGTAATCTTTCCTCTCCTCAAAGCTGTGCGTGAGTTCACTTCTCGGTGCGATTATTTTTCCCTCTGGCCCTTCCGTTCTCTGTTGCGTGTGTAATTTCTCGCTAAAATAAAATCCCCCGCGAGTGTCCTGCTGCTACCTGTTTATTGACGCAAATAATTCCTCCCCCGAAGATCCAGGAAATTAACAACTCTTCCAAATCCAAATTATCACTTAAGTCTTTTTCCTCAATTTTCCATGGGTTATGCCACGTGTATCAATCCATTTATAAGTCATTGCTTTCAATTTATTTCCATGGTTAAGTTGTAGGCCTTAATTGATCCGGTATTGAAAGACATTATAATGGCTCACGTGAAT